CTCTCTCTCCCCCCCCTTTCTTCTATCCTCTCTTCCCCTCCCCTCCCTGTTTTCTCCCCTCTCTCTTTACTTTGATTTTCTCTTCTTTTCATTCTTTTCATTCATTTTCCCAGATCAGCTGATTCCCAGATCCAACCTTGAATGTTGGTACCTGTGTTTTTCACACACCTACCTCTGTGTTAGTGTTTGCATTTCTGTTTTATAATATTTCCTGTGATTTTCCCCTTGGTAAATTTTATTCTCAAGTCTCCATTATATTTGATAGGTATATTGTTCATTTTCTTGTGTTCACTTTTAATTTTTTTTAATTTTTACTGTTTGATGAAGGAATATAGCTTGTGATACTACTATATTGATTGATACATAATGATGAGGATCATAATGATTACGTGTGTATTTTCTTTTTTAGGAAATAAAAAAGGAAAAGATGATGTGTATTATTCCCGGCCCTTATGTATAGATAAATAGATAGATTGATAGATAGATAGATAAATAAATATACATATATAGATATGTAGAGATAAAGATATAGTTTATGTGTGTGTTTGAAGAGAACTATTGTTATTCAAGAAGTATTTAGTAAAATGCAGATTTTATGTGAAATATGTGGATAATAAGAAGGAAGGTAAAAAATAAATTGAATGATCATTAATATTTCAGTGTTATTAATCTCTCCTTCTTGCTTTTGTCGAAAGAGCCTTTGAGGCCTCATTAAGTTGTGTTATTATTGGAACCACAAATTAATGACGTGAATTTTTGTAACTGTTTCAAAATGAATGAATGACTTAGATTGCTATGAAAGGAATGGTAACTTCAGCCACATATAAGGAGACATACAGATAGACAGATCCACACTTGCACTCCAGAAAGAGATGAGGATTTATATATAAGTAGTTATGTAGACACAAACATGAACACGCCAACATATTACACATGCACGCGCTAACATCTGCATACATATATACACTCTCTTACCCATAAGCACTCATACATTCGTACATACATGTGCGCATGAAAACATTTGCATTGATGTATTCAGACACAATTGTATGAATGTTTTGACATACATTTATGCATTAAAGATATGAATGAATGAAAAATACATTTACACGATCTCATTCATATGTACTAATCTATAAGAGCATGCACACATTTTAAATATCACTTAGCCAATAAATACAGCAAACATATCACAACACAATAGCAACAAGATAAAATATATATTGGGGATTATGTAGAAAGAGACATTATTATGAGATGAAAATATATTGTAATTATGCAGTTGAATACTTCATACTCATCATATCTAAGCCTCAGAGGCGATGATGCAGTCTTGACTTCGGATCAAGATGTCTATAACTTATTCATTAATCGTAACGTGTGCGCAGCTGTTAAATTTTACAAATCTATTACGTGTATTACAAGATTTTATAATTTTTTACATCATGATATACAGGTCATCACAGATTACAAAAGACCAATCAACACCGAAGTCAATCATGGCTCCAGCCTCGCATTCATATCATTGGCAAAGACTCAAGAAGCAAGTGAAGCTTTGAAAATCCTATAATCGAAACAATAAAGGTCACTTTACTTGCGTGTTTGTGGCGAGAGTTTGGACTGCGGTTGTACTGTCCATAAACTGTCAAGCTCACCACTTT